CTCTCTGTGGTCTATAGCCTTGAAGTCTTCTGACTCCAGCTTGAGCACCCCGATGTAGTAATTTATTAAACTTATGGCGTGCTCATTCACGCTTTGATAAAGTTCTTGCTATTTAGTGCAGTTTTGGCTAGTCGCTCAATTCTCACTAAAATCTCTGCAAGGACTTTATCGTAGCTTTCACGGGTAGGTGCACTAGTCTTGTCCTTCATTATGGCAAGGTATTTATACCTTTGAGTTCCTTCCAATAGCGCCGTCTTATCAGCGCTTACCTCGGTACTTACATTGTTCTTGTGAAAACGTGTTGCTTAGAATACCAAACTTTATTGACTATCTACATAGCTTGCGTTTGTTTAAATAGATCTTAAGCCTCTTACCATTGTTAATGCTCGTAAATTTTCAGCAGTTAATGATATTCCTATGAACTATCTCCATCTTTTTTTAGTATGTTTTGAAAAAACCGGAATTTTCTCTGAGATATTCATTCAGCAATCTCATTTCTCTGTCTCCTCATTCCTTGCTTTCTCTGATCTCTTTTTCTCCAGGTACTTGTAATGAGTTAATTAATTCTATTTCACTGTTGACGTGTGAGCATGTTTACTTCGAAAATTCAGTGCTCTCTTCATTTTTGCTTTTACAACTGAACTCCTAGCAGTTCACCTGGCATCCATTCATTTATGTTTTGACTTGGTAGCCGTAATCGAGCACACTCTCTGTTGAGATTGATTCCATTTTTAAGGAATTATTTTTTGCAGGCTAAAAATTGATGTTTGATTTGCATTTGTTATTCTTTTTACTCAATCAATAATTGATAATTAAGCAACTGAAACACTGATCAGTAGTTGTTAATTTCATTGAAAGATTTTTCCGTCTGTAAACTATCGATTTTTGAGAGTAGAAAATAAGGTCGTGTAATGATGATGTATCATTTTTACATAAGTATATTGTTTCTAATCATAAATAACACAAGGCTACTAATTTATTGCTGTAAAAGAAGTTGGAGAAATTATGGGACAAGGTTGGTTGGTGACCCGGATAGTGAAAATCTTGAAAGTGTAATAGTGCTGAATTGTTTGCAAAGTAAATCATGCAGAAGGTAAATGTTCATTACAGAGAGTTTGTTGAGGAATACTGAAGTAAGAATCAAGTGAAAATGTATGGAGTTTAGATTTTTACTGGTGCATTATTGACTGCATTTAGTCAATGATCACTTATGCTGCAGTCAGTAATCCATCTTGAAGAACCTGGAAGCTTCACGATCAAACAAACTGCTTTATTTTTGTTCTTTTCATTCTTCATTTACGTTCTCCCTCAATTTTAGCTTGTTTTCTTGTATGTGCAAACCACAGTTAATGGTGTAAAGTAATTTGTATTAAATGTACTTGTTGATGCAGGGGCTGCATATGCATGTATGAATGCACTACGACGGCAGTTCGTAATAAAAACAAAATCATGTGTTTATGCCTTTGAAAGTTTAATTTTCATATCGTTGTGGTAATAGACTAAAGAAGAAAATATTGTGAAGCAAATTCAGCCGCAACTTCAGATTCACTTCTATATGATCACTTTTTTCAATTTACATTAATGGTGAACATGTCTCGATTCGTCCGTTTTGATCTTAATCAATTTTGTCAATGTCTGCTTCTATCAACCAGTTCTGTTCTATCATGAATTTAGAAAATGCAAAAAATGAAATATTTGAATTCTCCACTATTTTTTTCTGTATGGACAAACTGTGCAACAGTGGTAGAATATGAATTATAATCTCTAATTATTTTTCAGCGCTCTCTTCAGCTGTCGAAATCATGCGTTTTATCTTACTTCTTTTAGTTTTTAGTTCTGATAATTTATACCATATCTATTGCTTCAAATTGTCGGAAATGAATTTACTGAATCTCTGAGATTTGCATACAGAATATCATAAAATTTTTGAAAAGGATTTTTGCCAAAACAATGCAAATGTTAAAAATAATTTTTTGAAACAGTTTTCAAAGTGTTTTTCGTTGAATTACCAAGTTAATGAAACAGTGGTAATTACTGGTACTTTTCTATAAAAATGGATCACTGGATAAAAGCGAAACATTTCCCTTGTTGTTCCTTGCATTTTATTATAATCCTGTAATATAATCAGTGCTCACGTCAGTTTTTTTCCTACCGGCTCTTCGCTAAAGCATTTGTGAATGTAGGCAGGAAATGTTCTGTTGCATGGTATTTTGAATTGTAGACTGTATTAAGCAGTTTGTTTTGTTTTCTGTGTGAGATTTCCGATCTTCGCCTTACAGATTATTTGAACAATTTTTATCGGGTCTTTGCGCTTTTTTTATCTCATAATTTTTTGAAGTGATCTTTTTATAATTATGTATTGTAAAGACAAACAATTTTTATTTTTCCACTTATACCATGAAATACATGTTTTCTTCAGTGATTCGCAACTTCATTTAAGGCTTTCATCTGGTTTTGCATTTGACATCATTAAATTATTTAATAAATGTGTCAAAGTATATATTTTTTTCAATAAAAAGTGGTACTTATGGTTGTTACTCCATGGTTTCAAGAACTTCATTTCAGTGATTCTAAATTAGAATGAAGATAGATGATTGCGTCAAGGAGTATAATTGAAGTATTTTACTGCACTCATGGTGCACTGTGAATAGCATGTATGGGATTTTATGTCTCGATCTTAATTTTTAGCTCTAATGCACTTAGAAATGAGTTATTAATTTCATCTGACTTTAAGTATAAATTTTCGGTATTATGCTGGTTTCTTGGTAAATATTGAAAACGTAAACAGCGGGATCTTTTTCTATTTGTTTTTCAGTATCAAGAATTATTTTCTTAATCAAAAATGATGCCCATTATTTGCCCATGATGTTTCCTTCGTGTATTGTCTAAATTTGATTATGAAGCTAGTTTTCACATTGAAATTTGTTATTTATTTGCTTGAAGACCATTGAAAAATCGTCAGTTAGATAAAGTTCGTTGTTAGTAACTACATATTTCGCATTACCACGTTTTTTGATAATAAAAACAAATCGTGCCTGGTGATTTAATACTTCTAAAAAGATATGAAATATTGCAGATTCGTTATGTCATACCGTTCGACTATATTTCAGCTTCTGTCATTAAATGTTCTTTTGGTTTCATTCAGTAATGCCCAGGAAGAATTTTTTCAGCCACGTATAATTTTTTAATATGATAAATATACAATGTCTTTTATCATTTAATGAATGTAACTTGAAGTGATTGACAAATCACTGATAAAACCATCCTATAATCTCGGTTTTAATTAGTTTTTCTGAATACGAATGAAATTCTCACTTGCTATTTTGTTTACGCATTAAAATCATTGTTTTCAAAAGTGCAGAAGTACTGCTGCATAAATGACTACTGTCCTTGTTCTTTTGAACCATATATTTATTTAAAAAATATTTTTCAAAATTCTTTGAGTTCTGAATATGTCTAAATTGATTTATTATGACATCTCATTGTATATAATTTTGAGGCATTGCAGATGTAAATCAGTTACCAGCACCTGATTTGGCTAATAATGTGCTACCTGAAATTTTCCTTGGCACCGTAAAGAAGACGGATGAAATGTTTGACACTAGTTATGGGATGCCACCGGATACATTAATTGATCCAGATGGGCGGACTGTGGCATATTCAAAGCGACGGGAAGAACAGTAAGCTTTGCCTTACTTCAAATTGAATATTGGTCGACATAATTAAGTAATCTTATAAAAAAATACCATAAAAATTTTAGGCTAACTCCTAAGGTATGCCATTCAGAAATGTATTTATTGATCATGTACGAAATATAGCAGCTTATATAATATCGGCTTGATCTCAAGGAAAGAATTTAGTCTAAATGATCATTGTAGATGAGTTAAAATCAAAAACACTTGTCATATTTGGTATAGTTAGCAGTGCTAACTTTACTTCAGTTTCACTTTCCATTGCCGTACTTCACTTCATCAAACAAAAATCTATAGACGTATGAAAGAAGTAGAGGAAGAACGACAACTTTTACAACAGATAAGCAGAAAAGATGGCAAAAAGTTTGTTTCTTGGTATATTTACTGTCGTACAATATTTGGTTGCATTGGCATTGTTGCTTGTGGCATTATTCCCGCATTTATTTTACCCAGTAATTCTAACGAGTACTTGCAATCGAATGGTTAATTTTTTTAACTTATTAAATTCTTACACCTTAATTACTAATAAATAACTTGCTTGTAAAATTGTTTTCAACAATTTTAAAAGAAATATGGAGACAGCTATAAGAGGTGCACATAACGATTTAAAAAATATTGCAGACTATTATTTATGTCCCAAGTTTTGGTGATGCGATCTGAATTTCTATTTTAGCTGGTCGTCAATCGTTGAATTTACTTCTAAGTTTTGCTGTTGGCAGTTTAATTGGTGATGTTTTTCTTCATTTACTGCCATTTGTATGGATCGATAAAAACGGTTACTCTTCTTTTTGATTAGCAGTGAACTGCATAGATTACAATACAAAGCTCAAAAGGGTCGGTATGGTAAAAGTTTTGCATTGCAGTGAATAAATTGGAAGCTGGAATTTGGACAATGGCGGGTGTTCTGTTTTGTTTTTTGCTTGAAAAACTATGCGTGACGAACGAATGTAGTCAACGCAAAGTGAGTACAATTTACGTACGTTTATTCTTGTGTATCTACTGTATAGTCTTAAATGCCTCACAGCGGCTTCCAGCGATGATATTTAATATTTACCGCATTTATTGCTACTGTTCCAAAACTTTGTTTTTATCTATAGTGGCAAGAAGCCAGGAATAGAACCAATAACAGTTGGGAAGTAGGAGCTATATGTGGATAGTCGTTATAATTGAGTCTATAATCACTGATGTAATGTTTTTTACAAAATCCTTGATCATCAGATGTGCGCTATATTGAATCTCATGGCCAACTTTATGGACAACTTCACCCATGGTTTAGCTATTGGTGGTTCATTTTTGTTAGAACCAAAGGTTAATATTTATCTTATTCTTTAATTAACGTAACTAACAATGGTTATGATCACTAAAAAAACTAAAGAACTAAGCAATATCCAGTCTTCAAAAACGCGAAGAATTTTTTTGAAAGTCGCGAAGAACTCTTTACTTAATGAAAAATAATCATTTCAGCTTGGCTGGTTAACAACATTTTCTATAATTATCCACGAACTACCCCATGAAATAAGCGACTTTGCCATTTTGCTTCGTGCTAATTTCGATCGTTGGTCAGCTGTGCGAGCTCAGGCTTGTGATTTCTGCCACCCTTATATGAAGAATGCGTATTTGTAACTGCTTCTCTGTAATATTGCGTTCTTACCCGTTCAAAGAATTATATGAAAAAATTTATCAATCTTATTACAGTTATTAACCGCAATCGGTGGTGCGTTAGGAGCATGCGTAGCACTGTTTTCACATACGAAATATGCGACCAATGAAGCATCCCAAAATATTTTACCATTTACGGCTGGTGGTTTTATTAATATTGCTCTTGCTCAAATATTACCGGAACTAATGAAAGAAACTAACTCAAGGTTTGAGCGTTTTTTATTACTTAATGATTTCTTTTGTATATATAACTACTTTTTTTAAATTATAGATTTTTTTCAGGCAAAATATCTTGCAGTGGATCTGTATAATGGGTGGCATCATAGTGATGTATGCAATGAATGCATTTCATCTCAGTTAATCAGTGTATATTTCGTTTTATTTTTCATCTCAGAGAATGCATTAGTTACCCATTTTAATAAACTGTCCCACTGCTTTCGCAAATAAAAACTTATGACAAAACAAAAGCGACCACATCGAAATGCGTGAACATCGCCATATTCTTTCTCCAACGTATGCGTTAGCTAAAGAAGTTGGCGTTAGCTAAAGAAGTTGGAATATAAAATAATTTACTCTCACGCAAGATGCCCTGCTTACCACAGTTTCTTTTTCTTTCTTTTAATAACTCCACTTTGCTTTTCACAACAAATTAGTAGATTAGTGTCAGAGTGAAATATATTACTGCTCTTTCATTCAAGCAAACACATGGTATACTGCTCATCAGAATCAATCATCATGACGCTGAATTTTTAGCAGCAATTAGACTAGTGAAAGTACCCAGTGTATGTGGCATAATTCGGCATACCAACGCTAAACAGAACAGTCTCGAAGAAACGTTCTTAGAACTGAAACTTGCTTGCACCGTGTCCCTGTCTGACAATATATTTGTTAGAAATCTAAAACAGGCAAACTTAGTGCGAAACAATGGGAAAGTGTGGTTGGCAAACACTAGTTTGTCAATTGCACAGACTGAGTAGACGAGGGAGTATAGCAAAAGTGAGGGAGCGGAGGGAAAGAGGGGTGAGGATGAAATGTTGCCAATTGGAAGAGAGAGAGAATGTGACAAGGAGTATACGTTAAGTATCTAACAAGATAGGGTGGTGGGAAAAGAGATATTGATTCATTAGTTACACTATATTAAAAAAAGTGGAATAAAAGCAATTAGTATGTGTTACTCAGCAGCATTAAACGATAGCATTGGTGGGATGGATTTCCTACATTACATATATATATAAATATCTTGAATTGCATGATGCACAATTGTGTTAGACGCGTGCTATGCAGGGAAGAGCTGATCGATTGTAGATCTTGCACTACATTAGTCGGAGAGTTCTTCAATAAATTGGTGACATATACAGAGTATCCATCCTGAAAAGAAAAGTGTTGAGAAGATTTAGCTCATCACCAAGTAACTACGGCTTCTACCTTCTCGAAGTTAGTCTTGTGTTAGGCGTTGTTGGACAGGTATAGTTTTAATCGGTTGTGAAATTTTCTCGCAGTATTTTGAGTATTCAAGTTAGTTTGCAGAGATTAATCATTTTTGCGGATAAGAAACGTTTACAGGTGCATATCATTGGCAGTTCATGTTTAATCGTACTTCACATTGTATTGACGTGTTGGTCGGACTTGAGCATTTTGATCCTGATAATCTCCATTTCACTAAAACTACCAGTTTGAGCTGCTTTTTTCTACAAATCTTTGAATGAAACGTATCACTTGGATCTTGCTAAACCTCACATATCGTTTTTAAGATATAAACTATGTCAATTTGATGACTTATGTATATATATATATATTTATATATATACATATATACCTGTCGAGAACGTTATTTTGCTGTAGTTAATTGCTATGGCAGGTTTTTTGGATTTTTTGCAAATGAACAAGGACAAGGTTTGTTTCATTGAAGTAAACGATTCTGGTTACATTCGATTGAATAGAAAACAGCAATACATGTCTCAGGTCCCATTGTTAACTTCTGTGAAAAGTTTTGAAAATTGATATGTCTTCTAAACGGAACTACTTTTCCGAAAAACGTTGTTTATTGTCTCAGTGTAAGCAGTATTTCATGTCAGTGGTTTCATGTGTGTTTTTGTTAGCTATATGTCAGTAGTTTGTCATAAATCTCTCTACTTTCATTTAAAACTTCAGACATTTCGTCCGAAAAAGAAGTTCCCTGTTGGGACGCTGAGATATAATCTCCATAAGCAGGCTCAAGCAACCTTGCATTCCGGTTTAGATCTAAAATCAGCTGTTCGCTTACCGCAAAATGAAAATTTTGAAGATTGGCTTGCTGTTCATAGTAAGCTTGTAATATGATAATTGAAAGATTTGTAAGTGATCATGATGTTAGGTTGTAGTTTGCAATAATGATGTGCATAATTTGCAGCGGTTGATTTTTTCAATCGGATTAATCTGCTTTATGGCATAATATCGGATGTTTGTACTGCTAAGTCTTGCCCTACTATGAGTGGCGGATCACGGTAAGTTAACGTTGGATTTGAAGTAATACTTTTTGTTGGAAAAATTGTTAATTTGTGATATGATAAACAGTGCACAAAATAACCTTTATGGTCACAAGCGTCGGCACATATTATGATATTGTACTATATATAGAGTTATCGTTAACGGTTCTGAAGATCCACTACAATGGTAGTAGGAATAAAAGTTCTGTGAATATTTTTTTTAATTTGTTAATGTTTTGAGTTATGAATACCTTTGGCAAGATGGTGTTAATTACAAGAAACCAACAAGGCTATCTGCTCCTGAATATATATTTCTTCTCATGGATTGGATTGAAATACGAATAAATAATGAAAATATATTTCCTTCTAATGCAGGTATTGATTCCTTCCAAAACTACTCGTCTCCGTAATATTTATGATCATAAAAACTCGTCGCCTTTATTATGACCAGAATATATTTTTAGTTGTTTGATTAATAAGTTTACAGAAGTGCCTTTTCCTCGAGATTTTCGACAAACATGTAAGAAAATTTTGACTAGATTATTTCGAGTATTTGTGCACATATACATACATCATTTCGATCGCTTATCACAGCTGGGCGCTGTAAGTTCTTGGAAAAAAATGCAACTATATAAGAATACAATTTTTAGGTGGAAATTTTTGTAGCAGTTTAAGAATTTAAACTTATACATTTTCGAAAAAACGTAAATAAAAATTAAATTTACAGGAACCACATGCGAACACGCTATACAAACATTTCTACTATTTTATCACAGAGCATCAATTAGTTTCGTCTCGTGAATTAGATGCACTGGTAAGTTCTTGCATGCAATTCGTAAAATTTGATAAATTGCTGTTTTGGATAAATAATTTCGTCATTCGTCATTCATTAGAGATATGTTTCAGAAGGAAATGACTGAGCGATTAATTGCTAGCACTGGAATACGACAGGTTCGTCTAGAATAGAATGTGGTATTTCTTGAATTCTCGTAGCGTTTTTTTGCGACAATCATACATCAATAGGCTTATGTCTATGAATATTTTACAGAATCTGCTATGAAATACAGATTTTGTAAACATGTGCTTGAACTGTATCTTCTGTTCAACTTTTCATTGGCTATGTTTTTTTCTCCATGTTCATGAATGGCAGGAAATGATAAAATCTTCCAATAATAATTTGTGCGAGTTTGTTATAAGAGGTGAAGCGAGTAAGGGATTACGCTTGTTTGATAGTGTTTTTTATTTCGTAATGGAGTAATTTTTGGTACAAGATTTGTAAGAAATACGGTTTTAACTGCACGCAAAGGCATTTCTGAAATTATTAGTTTCTTTAATGAAATACATCTATATTTTCTTATATGTAATGTTACACAATTTTCTGCATATTCATACAAACGATACTATCATTTTATTACTCATAAATCATTTGTATGTGAAGGGAATATGAACGCAAGTCATCCATGATTTCGGTGAATATGATTTTCATCGTAGTATGCTAATTTTAGATCTTGTCAAAACTTTCACTTTGTCAGACTCCGAAAGATAGATGTGTTCGTGTGTATGCTCTGTGCAACGGTTGCGATAACCTTAAATATTTCTCTAAATATATATAGTTATCTAATTTATTTGTATCAAGTAATTCTTTTCTGATCATTGCAATGTTTCACAATGTGTGATAAATACATTTTACAGTCACATTTTCTGAAAACTTCAGTGTCAGTGTTATTGATCCTTTAAAGTTAAAATGCTACAGAACTAAAAGTACAGTTTAATCTGGCTACTGTTTAAATTATGATTGCCCCACACACAAATTGCAGCAGATTTGCATCATCTCTTTTGTGAACATATTCCCTTGCATTCTTTTGCTTGCAATTGAGACTCAATAAATGTTAGTTGTGAATAAACGGTTGTGAATAAGCTCTCTTATGTAGTCGATTAAGTAGGCTGATTAAATAACTTCTACACTTTTCCATCTGAAGTGTAGTTCTCAGTAACTGATTCTTCACGTTTTTTCCTGGGAAAAATCGAGACAGTTTGGATGTATCTTAATTTAGAGCAGTAAACTTACCCTATTTATTACCTTCAATGTCAGTGGTACAAGTCTGCATATCTTTAATCTTTTATGAAAGTAATATTACTAAGCTGATTTTCGTACTTTAAAAGAATCAAAGCGAAGCGGTGCTACACTTTACATTAGTTGAAAAATGTTAATGGCAAATTCCAAGATTCACATCTTAACTATGCAATCACTACTTGCGATTGCACAGTTAGTTCATTTTCTGTACTAATGTAGAATCTTGTTTTTTCGTTCAAGCATACTAGTCATATATTTCCTGACGTACTTACCATATATTTTTCCCTGATCACTAAGCAATGTTATCAGCAGCAATCTTCAGACTTTTAATACATCAGTATTCTAAGCATATCATACTCTATCCGCTGGCATGACTGTTTATATACCAATTTTATTTGCATTTTATGTGGAAACTGCATATTTCATACATGCAATAATGCTCAATTCTTTTGATCAGTTATTAAAATTTATATCATAACAATAGTCATTCTAAAAAAATGTAAAGCTGTTTTAACAGCAAATGCATGAAAAGTAGCAGTATGAGCACTGCTGGAGAACGGAGAGAATATTGTCATGGAATGATGAGAATCTGTCAAGATTTGGATAGAATTTTCTCCTTTGAAATGCATAGATAAGAAATGGACTCAGTGTTCTCTCCGTTTTACTACTTTTCATTCCAACCATTCGCCATTCTTTCCTTGCATTGATTATATCATATCATTTATCACTTGCAGTGTTTCTCTTTTATTCAATCATTTCAGTGATTCATCGCTTATTTTAAGACAGCTTTTTTTGCTTACAGTTATGAAATCTACTTATCTGTGACTTCGATTCTCTACTATTATTCATACATGCCACAAAAGTCTCTTATTACCATCTTTTAAACGTGTATTTTATGAATGTTTTGAGCAAAAATTAAAAAATTGAAATAAAAACAGCTTAAATTTTTGAAAAAAGCTGGTGTTATCGTCAGCCCAAAATTCTCATCATTCTTAACATTCTGCAGTCTTTAATTTACAATCATTTTTAAGACTACGAACCGAAATGTTATGTTATGAAGTCTATGTGAGAGTAGTTTGGCCAAAAATGCAAGTCTAACCTAACTTATTGCAAATTAGTAAATTATGGAGTTTCTTACAAAAATATGCATTTTTCACATGATAAAACAAGGTTCCTTTGACCGTAAAATAACAGTATTATTAATGAATCCATTATTCACAAATTGCTAAATGTTTTGTAAAAATTTTCATCTCCACCACTTGTATAAATTTTATCAAATTTCTTTATATTTGTTTATGTTTTCGGTACTGCCCGCATATTCTGCCTTTTCCCGAGTGCCGTTTCTTCATCTCATTTCCTCTACCTTCAACACCAGACCGAAAACGTCAATTGATATCAGTTCAAGTGGATGGAGCAAGTGAGGAATTGTTGTGCAACACAGCTGTTTTCAATCTTATCTTAACCTGATTTCTATCTACTGCTTAACAGAGCCAGCTGTGTAGAATTCCTACTCATTTCATTCCGTTGTGTTGTCGTGATTTATATTTACAGAATTCTCATTTTTTTGCTTTCTTGTGCAAATGATTGAAAAGCGAACGAGAAATGATGGTGATGATGATGATGATGATGCTATGTGTCTATTGCTGTTATTTCCTATCTAACCTGAGTCACTTTTGTTTGCACTGGCTCAGCTTCATTACATTCTGGTACGAGTTAAGTTAGTCGATTAAACATTACTAACAAAAGAGCAGAGATGCATATTTAATCTTGTAATCATTTATTGTTCAAATATCTCCTCATCTTCTGGCTTAATAGCCATAGCCATCAACATTTTGTTCTTCCATGTCATTCATTTCACTTCCAACAGTTCTCTATCCACATGAGATTATAATCCATTTACTCTCTATCAAAACTCGCTTTGTAGTAGTTTAATATTTTTCAACTTGAATTATTAGATCTAATATTCTATTCTCACATAAATTATTTTACTCTTTACATTCTGATTTTTTTATTTTCTTATGGTCATGGTGTAGTATTGCAAAAGCAAAGTCACACACTTCCGTAATTAAGCAGCTTGCTTTGCAAAATTCTATCCTCTCGTAAGCAGTAAAAATTGATCAGCTAATCATGTTGTAGGCGTAGAACAATGAACATGAAGTAATTACAACTTCTTGCTAGAGCAATTCCGGAAAATTATAATTTCTTGTTTAATCTCATAATTTGCGTCATAATAAAACGATTAGACTGTATTTTTAAAAATAATGAAATGTACAAGTTTATAAATCTCTAGGTCAGTCAGTCTTTTTTAGTAAAAAAAATCTGTTATTTGAATGAAATTAATTTGATCGTCATAATTAATTTTGGGAATGTAAAGAGTAAAAGCATTTTTTAAAAGGTGCTGACAAACAGCTTTCTTTAAAACATACTAACACATTCTTTCGAATGTTTGACGAAAAAATGGGCACATATTGCTCGTGTAGTATTTCTACTCTTTTAATAATTTGCTTTTCCAGTGATATTTTATCGACTAAAAATAATTACTCGAATGACCCTATCAAGAATTTAGAATTCATGTAGCAATATTTCTATTTTACTGTATTTTTCTAATATTAGTTTTCATTTAATATTTTAGTCGAACATACCTCGCTATTTAGTTTCATAAGAAATTTGTGGTAATTATTATTTATCATTGTGTTTTAATGTTTAGAATGTTTGAACCTCCATTTACGGGTGATTTCGATCTTGATGTCGAGTTCGGATCTTCTCTACAACATCCTTTCTCACTTCGTAGTCGATTACGTGAAGTTCGAGAAGCATTTCGAGGATTTCGGGTAATAATTGGAATGTTTCTTGACTGCTTCTGCAGCGCATAAAAGTGAAGTCAGCTCGATTGCCTTTTTTAGCATCAGAGAATGATTTTGCTTCTCACTAACTTCAAACTGTAATTTTTACTTCAAAAAGGGGCTTTTCTTTATGATCTTAGCAACAATCTTAATGAAATGTAATTTACTTTATTTCATGTTTTCTACTGCAAATGCTTGCTTATAGAGCTAAATTTGTTGTCGATTCCTATCCGAAACTTTAATGAAAATTTAACTAGCACTTAGTAGTTGCACAGTTTTTTAATATTTATGTAACGCTGCCATATGCTGTTATCCCTTCAAGGTTGAAATGAATTGAATAAATTAGCACAGGAAGTCAATATATGAAGTCTTTTATGTTCAAATAAACAGACATTAAATAAATCACGTTAATAAGTCAAATTATTAAACTGAGTTCTTTGGAGTGGTTATTTTCTGATAATATTGTTCGATATTATGTATGTGGAATTTATTACCAGTTCTTACTTATACATATTGAGGGGACAGAAAAAAACTTATCAAAAAATGAGTAAAAGTCAGTGTAAATATACAAAAACTTTGCAGCCGCCGTATAGCACAGTTCTACATAACGAGTCTAAACTCACTACTCCTCGAAAAACAACCAGTATTGCTTCATCTTCTATTGCAAATAATGTAAAATTAATCAACTTTTTTCATGTTTCCTTCAGTTTCTTTTGTTGTTGCAGATTGTTGTCATTATAATGATTATTTTTCACACCAAATTTTCAATTTTTGATAGAGTTTAAGGTTTATTTATATGTTTATTAAAAAAATCCTTACTTGTTATTGTATCGCAGAAGTAAGCTAAAAATCTACTTTAATTCTAGCTCAGCCACTCTTTTTAATCGGTTAGTATTAATATAGGTAATATGCGATTAGTAAGAGAAGAACTATAATGTTCACAGTGGTAGAAATAAATTTGCTGCAGTTAGTATTATTATACTACATATAGAGTACTTACATTCTTGTACTTATTTGGAAATATGGCTGAAATTTATTTCTAGTTGGAAAATATAATTTTTAGACAAGCTCTTGTAATGCTTGTGTCGCACTGAGAAAACCAATGAAAGAAATTGAAGTTGCAATACAATTTTTGCATGAAGTGATACGAACCGATAAATATGAAGTGCTAATTGGTAGTGCCAGTGCTGTTTTTGATGCAGTTCTTGCTTATATAGCGTTATTGAAATATCCCGTACCTCATGTTCAAGTTAGTTTATGTGCTTTACACATATTATAACTCTGTTTATTTAGACAGCTTAGGTCTTACTGTTCTGTATTTACACGAATCACATTGTGATCATACTCATTTAAAAGAGCATTTTGTAAGCAAGCGCTAATCAAGTTGTTGGACTGGGTGGAAAACAAGATCTTATGCAGTGATATTTATGATGATGTTACTTCGCAATCTGAAAGCTCAAGCAATGGTGAAGGAGTACGTTTGGCGACCGAACTTTTGAAGGTTCCTTTAATAAACTGAATTCAAATGTCTAGAAAAGAAAAAAATAATTCATTCAGAATTTGATAATTTGAAACTTGCAAGAGTAATACAATGAATAATAATATATTTTATTTAAAATCAAGTAACCGGAACATTTGATTTTAGTCGCTTGTTTGTATGTTCTCTGAATTCTGTCCCAGTAATAGATTATAGTAACTAAAAATTTAAGCGCTACAAAGTTTTATTAATAATATGCTTTGAATTATTGGTGCAAGAAGATGAACACGTTTATTTCTTTCCCTTGATGTATTTTTATTTATTTAGCAATTTATTTGCTTGAAAATAAAGTTTTGAACTAAATTTTCCATTTATAATTTTAATAAGGTATATGTGAATATTTATCTAGAAAGTAGAGATAATTTATAGGCTATAATGGAAACTGAAGAAAATTCGCAAGACACCAATCTAAAATCTAGAAAAGATGCCATTGTCGATAAACTTCATAATATGCATGAGAGTATATCAGAAAAACTAAATGATCCTGGCTTTGAAAACACATTTGACAATGACGCAACTTCATTTTCGGGTCGTTCAGTTGAAAATTCAGGTTAGTTTCCTTCAATTTTTTCATTTAGTTGTGAACACAACATACTAATTAATGTCTAGTGATCTGCCACTTTGTAATGTTAATCATAATTCCTACAGTATATAGAACAAAAAACTTGGTTATCAATCTTTTCTAATCAAATGACCAGCATGGATTTTTTCATTTCTCAGAACTGCAGTTTTTAAAATGTTTTTATGAATCACACTTTAAGCAAATGTTTGTGACTCAATAGACTATTACTTTTTTGAGTAGTAAGGCGAATTAATTTTCAATTTCCTTATTTCCCAAACTTTGTCAAGTAACAAAGTGTTTCTTAAGGCAGCACTGACATCACTTTGGATGTCCAAAGTCTCGATGATCTACTCGCACAGTTAAATCTTCGTCAAGTAGCCAAATTTGAACCTATATTTCCCCAAGTTGAAAATGATGACACTGATGAAGATGATTCCGACACTATTCACGAAAAAAGGCATTTGAGATAAATAATTCAGAAATTTATAACGATTTGCATCGCGCAACTAAATTGAGTTCAGATTTCTTGAGTTCGGCATTAATATGAACTTTATTAACAAATTATGAAAAATGTTAATGGTGTCATATGATTAGTGTAGTGAAAAATAAATTTACTTTTAATCTATAGAGAAGAGCGAGAAGAAAAAAAGGATACCAAAACTTGTGAGGAAGAAGTTCAGAAATTATCAGATGGTAGCGAAATAAGAACGCGGAAAACAAAAACGTTTAATATGAAACAAAATAGTAAACAGGTTATTATTTCCATAATTTCGATTTATACTGAAAGATTCAAACTCATGTTTAGCTATGGCTTTTAGCAACATCCATTGTATTATGAACTTGTTAAATTTTTAACTTGTGAATCATAATTTTGGAGAAGTTGCCATTTGCAGGTAACTATTCGATCACATGGTAACAGCGGTAATGAGACTGTGAATATTTTCCACGATGGAAATATGTCATTTAAAAATGATCTGGCCACCGATAATTTCTTCACATCTCGGAAACCATCCGTGCATACTGATTTAAATCGGTCAAAACATTTTAATGATGTTTTGGAATCAACAGACAAATCGAACAATGAGAGCGAGTGCATATCTCAAAAAATCAGAAGTGTTCACCACACAGATACCGTTTCACAGTAAAACTTTTTAAAAACATCAATATTGCTGAAATTCGGCAATTAAGAAATTTTTGAGTGAATCATAGTTGAGTTACATGAGTATTATGCTTGATTTTATTAGAAGAGTATCCAAGACAGCGATGAAGAATGGCAAAATTGTCTGGGATGATGCAGCTCACAAAATTGATAAAAATGAGTTGAATGCCACGCAAGTGGAAATTTTCAAGGTATTTGTTCACGTGACTAGAACTTCATAATATGTGATCAAATAAGATGGAATTAATTAGAAATAATTGAGATAGGCTATGTGTAATTTTTTGTGAATGGTAGTTTTTTGTGGTTTCAATTTTAAATTTATCTAAAAGGCTGACAAGTATATTAATCATTGAAATTTTGTTTAGAACGACAAAATAATAGGCAGGCAGGGAAGTGGTTCATATGAAGAAAAAAGTACGGTGAAGATGGGTCTAACTCAGTTGTCATCCTCACCTCCGATTCCCCCAAAACAACGTCATGTTGTTCAATATATGCAGGTTAGATTATTCTCTGAGTATTTCTTGTTTGCTATTCTATTTATTGAGAATTGTCCGTAAACCTATATTAATAAACTCATTCTATCGCTTTTCGTTTATAAAATTATGTGTATTGAGGTGAAAAAAATTATGTTAAATCAGCAACTGAATTCTACAGACTTTCGGAAATGAAAGAGAAGATCAAGATGACTTTTTCAAAGGTTCAACACTTGCTTCATACATCACATTAAATGACAATTTGCGATATTACGAAGAACAGTATAAAAAACAAATCTCATTTGAATTCTCGCTATCTGGTATGCTGTTCATCATGAATAATATATTGCGTCTTACTGGTGTAATAGCTTTTACTGAGCCATTTTTTACATACCATTGAAACTTTCAGACTTGATTATAACAAATAGATGGCATACTTCATGTCATCATTCCACTTTCCGAATTGCTTTTTGCACTAAATGATTTCAGGTACAACAATGTCGAATCAAACTTTTTGTGATTTAAGCCAATTCCTGCAGTATACTGAAACAGATAGAATTATGTTACCAAAGAGATACATATTTGACATGGACGAGGTAATAAATAATGGCAGAGTTTTATAAACTTCCATTAGCGACCAAATTTTATCTAGATTTCGTGCTTATAATTTTATGATTAATTAGTAATCATAGTGATGAAGGCATTTATTATTCACATAACTCGACTCCTCACCCCAAGCAATTTTTGCTTAACTAATTTATTCCTTAAATTGCCCAGTGATTTCTGTGAAACACCTGTGACTAGCTAGCAGGAGTACAAGGATTAATCATCTATATATAAATATATACGTTTTTCCTTAATCTTTAGTTATACATATATAATTAAAAATAATAAATGTCTTTAAACTTCAACCGAAATAGATTAATGATCAAAAAAAATTTTTTGTAATAAAAAAAAGTATGATGTTATATATATATACAGCATCATACTTTCCCCACTGAAGCCGAATTTGGGAAGATAGTCTCCTATTTGCCCAATTGGGAAACAGAAGGGCTTGATGGAGTTTATTACTTCTTTATTAAGAAGTGCACGTCCTTGCATCCAGATCTGTACAAAATAGTTAGAAGGATTTGTCTGGATGAGGAGGGCCAGGATCCATGGTTCTATAAAGGTACTACCTACCTGATTCCAAAAGGTGTCCCAAGTAAAGGCAGCGACTTCAAACCAATAACTTGTATGTCGAACCTTTACAAGTTAACAACGAAATGTGTGCCACGCGTCATGCAGTTAGATGTTGCCATGAGAAAGCTGCCTGCAGACAATCAATTAGGAACTATTACCCCGGTTAAGGTTTGAAAGACCAGGTACTGTTCAACCTGGCGGTTTGCAAAGAGCATGGGAAACAGCTTTGCACTACGTGGTATGACATCAAAAAAACATTGCATTCAGTTAATCACGGATACCTGATTAAATGCATTGAAAGGATTAACATGCGATCTTGGGTCAGCAGGTTTCTGAGAAGCATCAACTCCAGATGGTCAGTTACATTGAAAAGCAATGAAGAAATTATAATGGAGAAGGAAATAGAACGAGGAATTCTCCAAAGCGATAGCCTTTCTCCACTGCTATTCGTCCTGTGCATGCACTCGTTGAGCAGTCGGTTTAATATAAGGTACCCACAAGTGCAGGCTCTCACGGATCAAAGAATGCATCTCACGAACCATTTACCATTTGTGGATGATCTCAATCTCCTCGCTGCTAACGAGGATATCATGAAAGCTATGGCAGAAGAAGTTCAAAAGTTCTTTGAAATAGTAGGGTTTGGGGGAATCCACGAAGTCAGCTATTAATAGCAAAGTATGCGCTGATAAAGTGGCGCTGTTGGAAGGAACTCAAAGGTATAAATACCTTGCCATAATAG